CCCCCCCCCCCGCGCCAGCATTTTTTTGCCACACTCTATTCCAATCGGGCCAGCCACCATCTACTAGTCCCCACCCAGGCCAGGATGGATGCGTAAGGCAATCGACGCCATCGCTTGACTACGCCCTTCTAAACTTGATTCTCTCTCTCTCTCTCCCCCTTCCCCTCCCTCTCTCCTCTCGTCCCTCTATCTTCCTTCTCCATCTCCATCTCCCCCACCATGGAGTTCGCTTCCCCTCCTCCGAGGGACGATGATCATAGCACTGGTCGGAGGGTACGCGAGCTATATCGCTATTTCCGCCCCGAACGGACAGCCAGTTATCAGGAACGCTATCAGAGTATCTCGTCCGACGACGCACCACCACCCACTATCCTTGATCCTTCTTTCCCGCCGCCATCCCCATCGCTATGCTCGCAATCGCAGTCCGGTCCCGCCATCGGTCCAACCTCGACGGGGCTAGTGCCCGAGGCCTTGGTCTTGGGTGACCCTAATGCGACTCTAACGTCTTTCGCGCAGCTAGCAGCGTTGCGTCTCAATGTTGAGCGCGTGTTGATTAGGTACGATACCAGTGCATCTCTTCTTCGACATTTTTTCGCCCTTGCCGTGCTGACTCGATGGGTATGTAAGTGTGTCAGATCGTCAGTCGCAATTCATTCTCGCTCAAAGCACTCGCACTGGCAAGGTCAGTGATTACGAGTCCGCTGGCGATGGCATCTGGAATGGCTGTGCGTCCATGTCCGCCAACGCCTGGAGTATGTGTAAGGTGGGTACCTACTCGTCAGAGAAGTTCGTAGATCGGTTACTCAACAAAGTATTGCGTCCTTCGTTGCAGGCTACTGTTGCGCTCCCGCCCAACAACCGAGAAAAAGGTCAACACAGCTTCCTGGTGGTTAACGACCTGCGCGAGGATGATCGCTACAAGCGCCTTCAGTTCGTACAGGGCGAGCCAGGTTTCCGTTTCTATGCCGGAACGCCCTTGACAACCCATACCAACATCAACATCGGCTGCTTTTTCGTTCTGGATACCAAGCCACACAATGGGTTGGATGACGTGGAGAAAGAGACCCTAGGGTCGTTGGCCGACTTGATTATGGATTACTTAAGGGTCAGCCGACAGGCATCAGAAGGTCGTCGTGCCGCTCGATTATCGCGCGGTCTCAGCTGTTTCGTCGAGGGCAGCTCCAGCTTCGTTGATGCCTCTCATCCGTCATTAGCTGGAAGCTCTGCCGCTGCGCCCAGCACCCCACCATCGTCGAGCCAAAGAGCCAATCACTTGTCCGTGGGCTCCTTCAACAGCTTCGATATGCCGTCGAGACGCTCACACAGCACTGATGCCCGTTCGTTCAGCTCTGCGTCGGACTATAAAGCCGATCAAGCCGTGTCGTCGGGTCCTGACACGCCGCTACCAGACTGGTGGTCCGGTAGCCGCCAGAAGGAATTGAAGGGAGTCGACGAGTCGCAGGGGCACACCTGGGCGTTCCGACGAGCCGCGAACTTGATTAGGGAGAGTTTGGAATTGGGTTCCGATGGGGGTGTCATCTTCGTGGAGAACAGCAACAGTCCGATGCTGGACACGGACACTGGCAGCGATGGCTCTGTGGAGGGCAACACTCCTGCACCGGTGTTGGCGATTTCTACCAACGATGAGCCGTTTGCGCCGGGCCCAGGTTCCAAGGTGCTCTATCCTGCCGCGAATCTCGATAGCACGTTTCTGCATCAGCTCCTGCGACGCTATAGCAAGGGGAAGTTGTGGTCCTTCCATCGAGACGGTATGATCTCCAGTTCCGATGATGAGACCCCTCGACAGAGTCGATCGCGGGCGCCGAAGGGCCCGGAGATTGGCAAGGGTGGGTCGAAGAAGTGGAAATCCATGGAGAACTCCATGCTGAATCTCTACTTTCCCAACGCGACCCAGGTTCTCTTCGTGCCGCTATGGAATTCCGCCAACTCACAGTGGTTCGCCGGGTGTTTCTGCTGGAACACGGAAGAGACGCGTGTCTTCAGCTCGTCCGTGGAACTTAGTTCAATCCTGGGATTTGGTTCCTCCATCATGGCCGAGTGTAACCGGGTCGAGTCGCTCATTTCCGACCGGCAAAAGGGCGACTTCATTGGCAGTATCTCGTAAGTTGGGTTTCTCTTGTATGTCTCACTGAATACTAACCTTGTTCAGACACGAGTTGCGCTCTCCGCTGCACGGTATCTTGGCGGCCGCCGAGTTTTTGAATGGGACGAACCTGGATGAATTCCAGGGGTCTCTCCTGGAGACCATCAATGCATGTGGGCGCACCTTGCTGGATACAATGAATCAGGTACTCGATTTTAGCAAGATCGTGTCCTTGGAACGAACATATCGCAGCCTGAAGCGGAACAAGACATCGTCCACAGACGTCAAGGGCATGGACCGGTTTTCTGCCCACTTGGACACCTACGTGGCGACCGACTTGGCCCTTCTGGCAGAAGAAGTGGTGGAAGGCGTGTGCCTGGGTCATGCATATGGTCAACGATCCGCAGCCCCCTACGATCAGCCTGTTGTCTTGCCGCTTGCTCAGCAGGGCCAGATCCAGCCCGACAAGGAAACGAAACCGAAACCCGGTTCTGAAGTTGAGGTGGTCATGGACATTGCTCACAACGACTGGGTCTATCAAACGCAGCCCGGAGCTCTGCGACGTATTGTTATGAACGTGTTTGGCAACGCCATGAAATACACGCACAGTGGTCGCGTGTCGCTGCACTTGGAAGTTACAGAGGCATCCGAGGGCCGCGTGCGTCGGAATGGTGTCGAAGAATTAGTGACTTTGACGGTGACGGACACCGGCAAGGGCATCTCGGAGGAGTTCCTGCGTGGCCGCCTGTACACACCTTTCGCCCAGGAGGACACGCTTGCAGTCGGCACAGGCCTGGGTCTTTCAATCGTGAGAAGTCTCGTCAAGGCGTTGAAGGGCAGCATCAACATCCACAGCCGGCCGGGAGAGGGAACTATCGTCAAGGTCTCGTTGCCTCTCGTGCGACCTGGTCCGGAACTGGAGCTGGAAGAACCTGTCCGTCCCGTGTCGCCATCTACAAGGGAGCAGGAGATGTTAACCGAATGCCGTCTGCTGCGCGAGGCCCATGTTGGCCGACGCGCCGCCATCCTTGGCGTGGATCCCGCCGACGCTACCTCCCATCCTTTGTGGTCCATCTACTCGCGATACTTGATCGACTGGTATGGCCTCGAGCTTGTTTCATGGCCGTCGGGCACGCCTGTGGACGTTATCCTGGCGGAGGAGCAGAGCTTGTTAGATGGCCTGAGGCCAGCCGGCGACGCGACTCTCCCTTCGCTCTTGATCCTCTGCAACAAATCCGTCGACTACACGACCGCGCGTTCGCAATGGGCATCCTTGGCGAATGTGGTCAACATCGTTCGCCGCCCATGTGGACCACACAAACTCGCTCGCAGCATCCGCAGATGTCTCGATACGCAGAGTGGCAACACCGCACCACACACCCTCGAGCTCCCCGAACGGCCCCGCCAAACCACCATTTCCTCCGGAAGCGACCTTTCGCCCGGAGAGAGGCTATTCGAAATCACAACCGACACCTCCGAGCTTGCCCCAGAGATGACGACCAGCTCCGGCTCCACCTCGTCGGCCGAGTATCCTCGCTCGCAAGACTCCGACGGCATGGATGCACCTCTATATACCATCAACTCACCTCTCCCGATCCGCGCCCCATCACCCTTCAAACAACCCATCCTAACACAAACTGAAACCGAGCGACGCGCCCGCGTCCTTGTAGTCGACGACAACAGCATCAACCTGAACCTGATGCTCACATTTATGAAAAAGCGGCACCTCGCGGCCCTCGACTCCGCCGAAAACGGTAAATTAGCCGTCGACGCAGTCGAACGGGCCCAACATGGCTACGACATTATCTTTATGGGTTAGTCCACTCAACATCCTCAAATTACCACTCAAACATCCTAACAAAGATTACTACAGACATGTCCATGCCCGTAATGAACGGCTTCGAAGCTACCCGCGCCATCCGCGCCCTCGAAAAAGAGCGTGGCGCAACATGCAAACCAGCTGTCATCATCGCACTGACGGGACTGAGCAGCTCGCGCGATGAATCTGAGGCGTTAACCTCGGGCGTGAACCTGTTCCTTACGAAGCCGGTGTCGTTTAAGGAGGTGTCGCGGTTATTAACAGAGTGGGAAGAGAAGGGGCTAGATGATCGGATATCTTTGTCTGGACAAGGACAGGGACAGGTGCAGCAGCAAGGGGTTGACGCCTAGTTGATGTGCTGTGGTTTTCTTTTCTTTTTTCCTCTGTTGCCTTGATTCCCCGGTTTGCTTTTCAGAGTTGTTTGTCTTTTTGGGATTACTCCGTATACGGGACATGAGGCATGAGTGATACCCTGGTTGTTTATGGCGTTCTGGGTGTTCCATATATGGCATCATCTTGCATGCATGCATGGTTTCTTTCTGGGATGATAGGGGATGGGATGATATGTGATGGACATTTTGCATGATATACATACTACTGCTACTATAGCGAGTGAGCGGATATAAAAGGGCATATGCATATGCGGTCCATTCAATACTACTATAAAATAAACTACTCCCTTTAACTCCAAAGTCACTGGGCACTCCTTCCATCACCCGATGCTTCGCTGAAGAGATAATGCTACTACTACCTGGAGGCAACACCCTTCTGCATGGCTCCCAAATGCTCCCAAGCCAATGTATCCTCGCCCAAACTCCATGCCATAACACCCCCGAGTCCCAGCTTATCCACAATATCAGTGAACTTGCGTGCAATCATGTCTGCGGTATCCCATGTCCAGAACACATTGACCTCGTCATCAAAGTAGTACTCTCCACCCATGACATCGTCCAGTTTGGCGTTCTCTTGCGCGCGCCGCCATGAATCCGTGATTGAAATGCCTTTGCATGTTCCGTAGTCAGATAGACAGCCTGCTTGGCAGAAGTCGTCGGTCGTTCCACTAGATCACCACTCATTAGCAAACATTCGCATGGAGGATATAGGCGGAGTTGACATACCAGTTTCCGTACTGACTGCAACAACTCCCAGAGGGACACTTCGTCCCCTTATCAAAACCGCAGGTGCCGTCCACACTCGTCTTCAGGTTAGCCGGAGGCGCACTCATAACACTCTTTTCAAACGTCAGACTCCCGCTTTTCCCATTATCGCTCCCATCTGCGTTCTCCATAACGACTACCTTGCACCCAATCGGCTGATCCTCACATTCCTTCTCATCATTGGGATCAGTCTCAAACCACTTCGCATAATACGCCATTCCCAGGTTCGTCTTATTGCCAGGGAGGCCAATATCCCGATACGCCTGCACGGTATTGAACGAATCCACAACAGAGGTATGGTGCATTGTGACGTTATTCCGGCGGTTCATGAGATCGTACGACATGATGTTCACCATATCAACCGAGGGCCAGATCTGCGGGCCTGTGGTGTTGGTGAAGGCGATCATATCTTCCTTCTTACCGGGGACCGCAATAGAGAGAAGCTTGTTGGGGCCGAGGGCACTTCGTAGCGCTTGGAGGAATAAGGGATAGGTAGTTATTTCAGAAACTTTGGCACTGTTCGGTGTTGTCTTGTAGTCTTGGCCGTTACCGCCGGGGTATTCCCAATCAATGTCTATACATTTCGGTCAATACTAGTTGCGGGACGGGGATAGCGAGGAAGAGTATGGAGACATACCAACACCATCGAAACCAACCTGGTTCACCATAGCCGCTACGTTCTTCGCATACAGGTTGCGAGAAGTCTCATCTTTCGCGGCCGTTGAGAACCCCGAGCTATCGCCCCATCCGCCGATAGCGATCATGAGCTTAGTCCCCGGGCTGAAGCGACTGCGCATGGTGGAGACAGACTCGAAGGGGGTAAATTGTGGGGGAGAGGCGGAGTTGAAGAGCGTGGACTGGGCGAAAGCCATGATAGCGTGCGTGATGCCTTGGGTTTGGTTGGCGCCGGGGAGGCCACTTGTGTGGTACCTAGATTAATCCCCCATTGTTCTTAGATGCGTATAGAAAGAGGTAGTATGAGGAGGATGTTGTCGGTACTCACTCATCAATGTACATGGCGAACCGCATGCTCGCCACGCACTGTAGGCCCATCAGGCCGAGGGCGATTATTCTCATATTACTGTTTGTTGATACTTTGATACTCTGGGTCTGTTCTGTGTTGTTCCACCCGGGGACAGAAAGCAGAGGTATATATGGTGGTGGTGGTGCGCGTTCTTTTGAGTCACTCCGGGCTGTGGTGCTAAATATGTACCTCTTGTATCACCATTCGCTGCCTATTGAACGGAGCCTGCCGTTATGAGGGACAGATGGCGACTCCTACCATTCCGATCAGTCTGGGGTCATCGCCGCAACATTCTGAAGGAGATGCCGGGTGGATGCTCGATTGCGGAGATGGAGGCCAGGTATGTCCGTGGCTGCAGAAACACTAGTTTCCAGTTATAGCATAGCTTGAATGAGGGTAGTGTGACTTGCTGAGACATACAAAATGGCGATTGGGGAAGCTGCGATTGAGAATCGCCACGAAAGGCAACAAACATACCAAACAACATTCCGGCATGTTGGGGCCTTGGTGGGATTGTGACCGGCTGGCTGGGCTGCATTGGCGGATGAGACACCAAAAGCTACATCTGTTTGTCAATCAGGGTGTTCTGTCTTATTTCTAATTTGAGCTGAATCGTACAGAGGAGGGTATCAATGTGAAACTTCATTATTAGCGCTAGACAAGTCTGAGTTTAGACCGTAGGGTATCTTCTAAATGAAATATAAAGCCGAGAAAGCGTACAGCTAATCCCAATGCCGACGGATGATCGGCCGCGCAGGGTCCCATGGCCCTGTGACCACATTCTTATACTTCTGTAAGCTGATGAGCCACCAGCTACATCCCCCCATGGCGAGCGCCGTCAGGATGCTCCCCAGGATTGAGCCAACCACCGCCGCCATCCATCCTCCACGCAGGGTGATCCCTACCGCGCCGCCAGCAACCCCGACCAGAGCCAAGGTCAGCAGCACATGCCCAGTCCACGACACATGACGCAGCTGCCGGCGAAAAATGGGGAAGAGCCCGAACACCTCAATTGAGAATAGCATCAGGCTGAACACATGTGTGGTAGAAGGTAAGCGCGACGCCAATACAGTCGAGGCCATCACCGCTGCATTAGTGGACAAAGAAGCCGGGAACTTGGTGGCGCCTGCGCCCTCCCCACTTCCATAGTCAAAGGAGAAGATATTCATGATCAGTAGCCAGCAACTCATGGCCCAGATCGAGTCACTCGCCGTAGATTTGGTGAGAGACTTGAGGATCGGGCTAAGCCCGAGTAGCGCGAAGTAGATCAAAAACGCCGATTTCACAGTGGACAGCCGCTGCCGATTCCGCGACGAGAACATCGACAAGTAGTCTGGCTCCTGAGAACCAGAACCGCCACCCAGGGCCCCGTTCGCAGGACCAGGCGTAGGCGAACCGGGCTCCTGAGCCCCGTAGGTATCACTCACATACCCCGTGCTGTGTCGCCGGAGCAGTTCACTTGACTCGCCCTGCGACATGTTCAACCCCAGCCCATGCACTTGGTTCTCCTTCTGGCCATTGGCTCGCGAGCTAGTGCCAGACGGATTGACAGAGCTGGTCATGGAGCTAGAACTGGAGCCATCGTCACCCTCCAGTGATCGCTCCGCCACATGCGCATTTTCCACATGCTCTCTCAATATCCACGAATCCCAAAATATCCAACCCAACGCTGTCCCGACACTTCCCCAGCAGACCACCGAAACTGGGCTCACGCGACCCTGAACAATGCCGACAAAGCAACACACAAATATAGCCACAGAGCTAACATGTTGTACAATAACCGTGGAGTCGGCCACTAGCGGCCAGAAATCGTAGGGCCGCACTCGGGGATTTCGCTGGAGGTGGTCAAGGAACGTCTCGGTGTCGGTGTAGTTGTCCGGGTCTGAGATTGTCAGTATTTCCTGTCATGTGTGTTTCGGGGTGGGTATGAAGCGCACATGATTGTTTCACCCACAGCAGCTTCTTCCATGCACCCTTTCGTCGTCTCCGTCTGCTGGTACCGCGCACCTTGCGACTCCCTACACCTGGGACCGCGGGCGGCGGTCGCAGGGCTGCCACGGAGGCAGCAGTGCCCGAATTGCCATTCAGCACTCGGAGAGAGTCATCGTACCCCGTCTGGGTCGGCCGAGCCCGAGGTAGGGACGAGGTGTAATATGCATCTTCAGGGGCCAGCCGGTTGGGATCCGGGAGAGCTCGTTGCGCGGCGGTAGGCTTCACGCCAACCGTGCGGTTCGGATGGGTCTCGACGGGAACTGGGGGAGGAACCGGAGGAGGCGAGTCGGGCAAGGAAGGCATGGAGGAGCAGCGGGATTCATGCTTGTAGCATGATGTGATGGATCTATAGTTGGCGCTGAAGACACAATTGCGCTGGTCGGTGACGCGAATCACACCCCAATTCAGGCCTGCAACCACGTGGTGATTAGTCAGCTATACTAACTTAGTTACTCTGGACGAATGCGTATCTTCGACATGGAATTGCACACTGGAAAAGAAATGGCCAATTAAATAATGTATCTTGATAGAAATATTTCACAATTTGTTTGAATGATAGCATACGACACAACATTCTCGACAACACTCTCACTCATGCTTGTAACACGTGCAGAACGTCAATCACAATCCGGTCCAAGTTGTCCACCAACCCCAGTGCCTGCTCAACTAGAAGGCGAAACTCTCCATCACTGTCTTCGAACAGGTAGTGTTGCTCACGCTGTGTCGAGATCTGACATGCCAGTATCTTGACCTGAGCGTCTCTATCGCAAGCTTGATAAAATGCCGTGGCTTTATCAAATAGCTCCTTCCTCGACCTACATTCATCCAGTGGAATATAGCGTATCGCACCGATAACTCTCTGGGATCCGAGGCGAAATACAACCTTGCTAGGCTTCATAGGCTCAGTGGTGTTGCTTGTATTGCTGGTGTCGGTAGTTTTGTGCCGTTTGTGTGGTGGCGAGGGCACGTACTTCTCTTCTTCAGATGATGAGCCTGCTTCCGATGAAGATGACGAGTCCGATTCCGTATGCTCTTCGCTCTGATGAGCGCGACCTCTCATAGAGTATCTTTTTGAGCAACCTGCTTTCACCGATTTCCTTGTGACTAACTTGTCTTTTGGGGACTTGTGACGGGTGACCGAAGATCTGCTAACATCCTCCTCGCCTGAAGAATCCTGGAGCTCTTTTAAATGTTCCCAAGCTTCCGAAGAGTATTCGATTTCCTCCAGGTCGCTGCTAAACACTCGGACTGCGCAGTGTTCTAGCTCCTCTTTCTCATCGACGCCAGACCACGGCCTAAGGTATGTGCCATGGACAGTACGATGAGGCGGATCACAATAGACGAATCTCGCTGTGCCATTCGCCTCATGTAGCACGAGCACACAGTACTTGCGCGGTTTAGTGACGAGGTACCATGTCAGCTCGAGCTCATTGCCTTTCCGATCAAACACTTTCCAGACCATAGATCCCAGACGTCCGCTGACTTTGCACCTCGGATACTCGTTCCCCTTCTCTTCGTGCCAATGTTCCAGAATTGCCATCAGGTAACTAGGAAACGGGATGTCTGGTCCCAGCTCTGGTTTCGCGTTCACGTGCACCGCCTGGTCGTCGTTATCGCCTGCTTGAGACCCATCAGCAGAGACTGTTGGCTTCTGTTCTTCGTCGTCAGACTCAGTGTGGACGATGTGACGAGAGGCGCGCCTCACCCTAGCAATGACGCATGAGAGTTATCAGCCAACATGTATCCGAAAGCAGCAATTGATCTTACCTTTCCTTCCAGAAGATGACGGCACCGTCTGCAGGGTTCATTTTTAGTCTGCACGCGAGGGTTAGCACGGGTCGGTGCAAGTCAAGAGTGCATGCTCGATGGAGTTTCGTTTAGTTGACTTACTCCTGGAGGAATTGGCGTGTTTGCTTAACAAAGACACTTCTGCAGATGACACCTAGCCCAGAGGGTTCTAAAGACGTCTGACAGTCGGCCTTATTCCCGTTAGGTTATTTTTCATACCAGAGAAGCTGCTTAAACATAATGTGGCTTGTCTGTCCAAACTTTCTGGTGGGTGCCTTGTCCCCCGCGCAAATCACCGTTATTGGAACCTCACAATTCAATAGTATGAAGTCTGAGTATGACTAGTGAAGCATTTCCCAATTAGCATTTCTAATTCCGAGCAGATAGCTCGGACTCTTCCGTACAAGTGTAAAGCTCAATTCGATTGAGACTAGCAACTCAGTGCACAAAAGTGAGGCAGCTTGCGCTCAATGTCTCAGTTTCCGGAAGGCGTGGGTGCAACAGAGCTGAGTCAAGACCTTAGAAATCAATGCACATGCACAGCTCCAACGTGAAATCAAAGATCCGTGAAATGCACTAGAGTGGATCACCGAGAAGAATTCGACAGCTCAGTGCATTAGGAGTGAAGAAAATCCACTGCTCTACACCACGCTGCATCGTACTTTACCCCCCAGGGTATGAGACGGTATTTCCTAACGCGTTCTGGAACCCACCAACAGTTTACCTCGCCTCACTGATAAGCAGCTAGTAGTGAATGCTCCTCTCACATTGCGGGACTTCTTCTTCAGCCCATAATAACATAATAATCCCGGGATGGATAGTCCGGGGAAAACATGCATGCTTCCCCATCAAACTTTAACATACTCATTTTGACCCACGTCCCCAAAGTCCAAAAGCAGATACAACATCCGAACATGGACTTTTCCATTTTCTGTGCAATTGAAGACAAATTTCTGCCAAGACACTCTAGACTACCCTGTTTAGCCTTCCAAACGCAGATCCAGGCGGCCGGCTGTATCTGGCCACTGCAGAATACGAACGGATGGTTGTTTGCTCTTCTCCTTGACCATGGCGTTGGGTGGGCAAGCCCACCAACTGATGGCCAAACCTGTTTCCTTCCGGACTACCAATATTGGCTATCTCCGTTTGGCTTGAACTTTACTTCCACTTTTTCTGCCCGATGAATCGGCAGGCTAAACATGTCATTCTTCAACCGGAACGCATCATTACTATTGAACATATATTGTAGCGAGGGTGACTAGTAGTACTACAGGATTCGATTTGGAACGAGCGTGACCGATCTATAGTACATAATCATAATGACCTAGTCATCAATCAAGGACCATATGAGCTGCCACACCCAATATACCCACAACAACAGAACCGCATAGCTGACAACAACCCCGACGACAGCACAACCAGACACAGGTAGGTTTTGCGCCACAAGAAGCAGTCAACCACCTATCGGTGAGTAACCACAACTGAAGCGGTGGACAG